TGTTGTCCTATAGATAGATGCTAAATGAATCCAATCGATGCAAACAGAACAATCAGTTAAGAAAATCAACCATCAATTTATGTCGAATTATATATGAGAGTAATTTGACGAATTATTTTAATAAAAAATCAGTCGTTAGATAGATTAAGTTTTTCATTCAAGAGAAAGGTGATAATTTTCAATATATAATGAATATAAATGTATTTAAAAGTAACATGTAAAAAGTTGGACATCCAAATAATAAACTCCATTGGGCAAATGAGTGCTAGAAATCAAAGTAATAATAGTTCAGAAAAAATTACCTCAATTAAACCATTTTGGAAACCGACAATGCACCAAAGACCATCGCGTGTGATGTGGATAAATGAAGCCTGACTTCTACAAAATTCACGAGAAGCAAGTGTAGCACCTGTCTGGAGAAAAATAAAGATAATAACCAAAGAAATGAAAATAATCAAATAATAAAAGTAACAATCAACGTTGAAAAATAATGTGAGAAAATAAAAATAATAAATAAGCAATATAAATCAATATGAACAATCATATGAAATAAAGCTAAATATATATTTAAAATGTTATATAATACTGCAATAAATATATTCGATCGAAAACAAGACATTTATTGCAGTTAGGTTTTACCATAAAATCGGTATATAAAACGAAAGTTGATGAGATGTTATATGTCCAAAAGTATAATTAGAAGTGGATCAGAATTGTTTACTTAACTGAAATATGTAAGGATTTTAAGATAGGCAATATAGGCCAAGTTTAATTATACAAAAATTGCAAACTCATAAAAAATAGTCTCAGGAGAAAATGATGCTTAATTAAGTAAGATCGTATGCGAGCGGAAACACAAAAAGCTTTTATATTATCCAACTATGAAAGGCTACTTAGGGAATAAAATAAGGGTAAGTGAATACTTTATCTAATCAGTTAAAGTAATACAAACGCATAATAATAAGTTTTAAGATTGATAGTGTTTTAGGATAGGAAAAAGTTAAACAGGAAATGCAATGAGGTTCTAAAACACCATCAATTTGTGTACAGATCCTTAACTAAGAATATAAAAAAAATTTAATGGCATAAATGATTGGCAAAAGATAAGATATGAATCAGGCTTAAATTAATAAAA